CACGGTTCACTTGTCTTACATCTGCTCAGGATCGCGCTCTGCTCGAAGAATGATTCACACACACTGCCGATATTCGAAGCGCAAGAATCTAAATGCTTCAAAACACCCGGACGTCCACATAAACAAAGGCCAAAGTTCATTCCATGCACCCGCCAAACCCCCTGTTTATGAATGAAAAACGGTTTACACACGACTCATAACTGATAACGTTCGAACACTTCCGGAACACGTGCTTCACTGACGAATTTTCTTCGAACCACAACGCTGTATATGCTTCACCCACGTACTACAAATACAAATAATTGCCAATAGAACCTAAACACCTAATCTAACCAGTGACTAAATATGCACAGTATGCTAATATATAAAAATATTTATTAATATTTGAAAAAATTCCTATTTTGAGCTAACAGCATGTTAATATTGATGAATGCGTCTCTGGGGTTGACCGCTGGATGGAATGGACTTCTTCTGAGGACGGGATGCAAAACACTGCAAACACAACAAATCGCCAACATAATCAAAACACCTAATCTAGCCTACGTCGAATAATGCAAACAATAAAAATATACATTAATATTAATTTATTTTCGAAGATAATAATGATTTTAGATATACGGGGCCCTATAATTGTCGAATAAATCTCTGGGATGGTCCACGGCATGGAGGAGGATAGCATAAGAATGGTTCCATACAATACATCCCTCTCAATATCCTAACCAATCCATTAAAACTATCCAGTCCACCTAACCAGTCATTCTAAAGTCTTGCAGGCGATGAGTCACAATAACGTGGCTGAAGAATGTTGACCAGACAACACACTAGAAGGTGAAGGGACGACGACGTTTCGGTCCGTCCTGGATCATTCTCAAGTCGATGGTGTCAAGACAATCGACTTGAGAATGGTCCAGGACGGACCGAAACGTCGCCGTCCCTTCACCTTCTAGTGTGTGGTCTGGTCAACTAGAGATATATATCCTACTATTTTTGTGCAATCAAAACGTGGAATCTTGATATAGTTAAGTTGATGGCTCTAGTTAATTCTAACGTAACAATGTTGATTTTAAATTATTCAAAGAACGCGTTCCATACACCCCCCCCTTTATTGACTTCCCATACCCACCAAAGGGGTATCCACACCCTGAAATGGGTACGGATACCCTCCCTGGAAACATAAACCGAAACTGTCTCTATTTTCCGCTTGTTACAACTTGTAATAAAGTTGTTATATCTTGGCTTAACGTGTTTATGACGTATTAGAACGTTGTTACAACTTGCTATATTGGTTGTTATAACTGGTTAGGAGGCGTTAAAATTTGTTCGAACGTTGTACCTACGTCGTAGTTTCGGTGTGTGTTTGGCGGGGTAGCCTAGTTTAAGAACCTCTGATCTAGACCAACAGACTGTCAACAAAGTCAGGAGACACACCTGCGGGCCGCTCCAAGCAACAGCCTGGTGGACCAAACTCTCACAAGTCAAGCCTGGCCTCGGGCCGGGCTTGGGGAGTAGAAGAACTCCCAGAACCCCATCAACCAGGTATCAACCAGGTACCCGCCAAACACACACCGAAACTACGACGTTGGTACAACGTTCGAACAAGTTTTAACACTTCCTAACCAGTTATAACAACCAATATAGCAAGTTGTAACAACGTTCTAATACGTCATAAACACGTTAAGCCAAGATATAACAACTTTATTACAAGTTGTAACAAGCGGAAAATAGAGACAGTTTCGGTTTGTGTTTCCAGGGATATCAACCAGGTACTCACAGCACGTGGATGAGGTCGCGGGCCCTGTACCCGGGCAGTCGTCTGTTGTCGAGTCGGAGAGGAGGTCACCACCAGGCCCTCCTGCCTCTGTGACCCCACTACCGGTCACGCTTCCAGGTCCTCCTCCTCCTCCTCCTCCTCCAGGTCCTAGATGGTGTTGAGACCTGGCGCCTGGTTGACTCCATGTCCGCTGCGGCCTCCCGAGCCCCGTGCTCTGCTCCTTCCAGGTTTGTAGCCACATGTTTTTACAGTCACTTGGATCCAGAGGGTTGTCCGTGGTGGTGATGTGACGGAGATTGTCTCTGGAAGGTAGAAAAGAGGGGGGAATGATTTCACCAAAAGGAAACATTCTTAAATTTATTCTATTTCAATTAAGGGTATGAGGAATCACGCACGCACACACACACACACACACACAACACACACACACACACACACACACACACACACAACACACACACACACACACACAAACACACACTGAGTGCAAAAAATGAGCCACAGAGATATAAGAGATATAAGAAAGAACTTTTTTAGTGTCAGAGCGGTTGACAAATGGAATGCATTAGGAAGTGATGTGGTGGAGGCTGACTCCATACACAGTTTCAAGTGTAGATATGATAGAGCCCATTAGGCTCAGGAACCTGTACACCTGTTGATTGACAGTTGAGAGGCGGGACCAAAGAGCCGGAGCTCAACCCCCGCAAGCACAACTAGGTGAGTACAACTAGGAGAGTACACACACACACACAAACATATTCAGTGGAGACAGACTCTATACACAGTAACAAATGTAGATATGATAGAGCCGACTAGGCTCAGGAACCTGTACACCAGTTGATTGACAGTTGAGAGGCGGGACCAAAGAACCAAAGCTCAACCCCCGCTACCACCTAGGTGAGTACAAGAACAACAACTAGGTGAGTACACCCACCCACCAGGCTAGAGTCTCCCTTACTTTATTAGGCATTAGTGGACCCTCAGCCTTATTGACAGGAAGCTAATGAGTTTGAAGAAGCTACTTATGTACTCACCTGCACCCGCCCAGTGGGTACAGGCGGCTTCTGTACCGATTCCGTGTGTAGCCTATCACGCACTGTGTGTATAATTAGCTAAGTGTAGTTACAGGATGAGAGTTACGCTGGTGGCGTCCCGTCTTCCCAGTACTCTTTGTCGTATAATGTTTTGCAGGGCGGTAGTGGTTACTAACGGGTGGCTAAAGATTTCTAAGCTTATTATCAATTATTGTAACATAGTTGTGTATTCACCTACTTGTGTTTGCGGGGGTTGAGCTTTGCTCTTTCGGCCGGCCTCTCAACTGTCAATCAACTGTTTACTAACTACTGCTACTTTTTTTTCCACACCACACACACACACCCCAGGAAGCAGCCCGTGACAGCTGACTAACTCACAGGTACCTATTTACTGCTAGGTAACAGGGGCATTCAGGGTAAAAGAAACTTTGCCCATTTGTTTCTGCCTGGTGCGGGAATCGAACCCGCGCCACAGAATTGCAAGTCCTGTGCGCTATCCACCAGGCTACCAGGCCCCTGAGTGTGTAAGTGTGAGTGTGTGTGTGTGAGTGTGTGTGTGTGTGTGTGTGTGTGTGTGTGTGTGTGTGTGTGTGTGTGTGTGTGTGTGTGTGTGTGTGTGTGTGTGTGTGTGTGTGTTTGTGTGTTTACTATTGTTTGACATAAAAAATATATTACATATTATATCTATACCATATGCTATATATCTTTAGTTTTTACTTCAAGCACACATGAGCAACCAGTGACCAAAAACAAAAGAAAAGCTTTAATACCACCGAAGAAAGACTCGATAACAGGATCACCAGCAAACACTCCTTCCAGTGCGTGGGAGGAGTGTTTTCCCACTGCAAGTGCTTGACCAAATTACTTATAGCTCACTATCGGGTCAGTGACACCGCATGTATCCTGTCGGGGGGGGGGGTAACAGCTGAGCATCGAAGGTAAATAAAGGGATTCGGAACACCCTCGAAATAGCCGATGCCATCTCCCAGGATTCAACGTGAAGGGGGATCGAAGACTCCGTCTGGATGCCGGTAATGGAGGGATTCTGGGTCTTATGTTAGTTGTTGAATATAAATGTTCTTTCTGTCTCCTGCTGCCATCTTGTGGAACGCGGATATAATAGATTTTTGGGAGGAGCGTAAATCGGATTATTGCTAAGGAATGTGGTTTTAATTTCTCTGTAATCTTATTCAAGCATTTTTTTTGTATTATTTCTGAGCATTATTTTGTCGAAGAATATCACACACACACACACACACACACACACACACAAACACACACACACACACACAAATAATGTTAATAAATGCCATGTTATGGAATGTGGAATAGGAGAACATAGACCCCACACAACCTATATATAATGTGAGAAATCTTTAAAGAATTCTGATAAAGAAAGAGATCTAGGGGTGGTTCTAGATAGAAAACTATCACCTGAGGACCACGTAAAAAATATTGTGCGAGGAGCCTATGCCACGCTTTCTAACTTCAGAATTGCTTGAAATACATGGATGGAGATATACTACAGAAATTGTTCACGACTTTTGTTAGGCCAAAGCTAGAATATGCAGCGGTTGTGTGGTGCCCATATCTCAAGAAGCACATCAACAAACTGGAAAAGGTGCAAAGACATGCTACTAAGTGGCTCCCGGAACTGAAGGGCTAGAGCTACTAGGAGAGGTTAGAGGCATTAAATATGCCAAAACTAGAAGACAGAAGAAAAAGAGGTGACATGATCACTACATACAAAATAGTAACAGGAATTGATAAAATCGATAGGGAAGATTTCCTGACACCTGGAACTTTAAGAACAAGAGGTCATAGATATAAACTAGTTAAACACAGATGCCGAAGAAATATAAGAAAATTGACTTTCGCAAACAGAGTGGTAGACGGTTGGAACAAGTTAGGTGAGAAGGTGGTGGAGGTCAAGACCGTCAGTAGTTTCAAAGCGTTATATGACAAAGAGTGCTGGGAAGACGGGACACCACGAGCGTAGCTCTCATCCTGCAACTACACTTAGGTAATTACACATATACACACACATACAAACACACATACAAACAAATATTCACGCATATTCAAATATACACAAACACAGAGACAACAAAATACTATTCTATGTTAAAATGACTTACTCGATCACAAATATTTTTATTTGAAAATTTATTTTAACTTTTTTTAACTTAGATTTTTTAGTTTATGTCCAAAATCACAATTTATTTTCTGTTAACTTTTTACGCACATCTTTTCAGAGTAGTGATAGGCAACTTCTGTATATATGTACGACTAATATTCTCAAAGTCACACACACATACACACACACACACACTCTCACACACACACACAACACACACACACACACACACACACACACACACACACACACACACACACACACACTCTCTCACACACACACACACACACACTCGGGACCAAAGAGCCAGAGCTCAACCCCCGCAAACACAACTAGGTGAGTACACACACACACACACACACACACACACACACACACACACACACACACACACACACACACAGCTACACAAGGGGCACCGGTGGCTGTGTGGATAGCACGCTGGACACGTAATCCTGTGGCCCTGGTTCGATTCCCGGCGCTGGCGAGACACAATGGCCAGAGTTTCTTTCATACTGATACCCCTGTTACCTAGCAGTAAATAGGTACCTGAGAGTTAGGAGTTCGACAGCTGTTACGGGCTGCTTCCTATGTGTGTGTGTGTGTGTGTGTATGTGGGAAAAAAAAGTTAGTAGTTAGTAACAGTTGATTGATTGACAGTAGAGAGGCGGGCCGAAAGAGCAGAGCTCAACCCCCGCAAGCACAACTAGGTGAACACAACTAGGTGAACACAAGGCCAAGGACCTCCACAGGTTACTGATGAGGGGATAATTATTAACGCTGGCCATTAGTGCCAAGACCATCCTGGGAAAGAAAAAAGCCATTACAAGCGTGAGAGCATTAATCATACCTGAGCCTCTACCGTCCTGGGACTAAACGTTGTTATATATATCCCCCTTTAAACAAATGTTTAGGACCTCCCTTCGAAAATTTATATATAATATATATATATATATATATATATATATATATATATATATATATATATAGGGAGTACCACCTCTAGCTGGAAGAAGGGGGACCCATAGCCTCGGAGGAAACCACTCATAACGCATTAGAGGGAATGTTTAGATCCCCTCCCAATACAGTTTCTGTGTGCTTTTCTCCTACCACCCCCTTCCTTGAATATTTTTTTGTGCTTTATTATGCATTTGATGGTTACAAGATATACATGGGTTGATACAAAAAAAAAATATATATATATATATATATATATTAGGAAGAATACATTAGGAAGTAATGTGGTGGAGGCTGACTCCATACACAGTTTCAAGTGTAGATATCATAGAGCCCAATAGGCTCAGGAACCTGTACACCTGTTTGATTGACGGTTGAGAGGCGGGACCAAACAGCCAGAGCTCAACCCCCGCAAGCACAATTAGGTGAGAACACACACATACACCCCCCCCCCCCACACACACACACACACACACACACACACACACACACGCACACACACACCTGTAGCGAAGGAACTTTGTGTTACAACACTATCATGGTTTGAAGGATGGCAAGTCATGCCTCACAGGATTAATTGAATTCTACGATCGAGCAACAAGAATCAGACAAGAAAGAGAGGGGTGGGCAGATTGCATGTTTTTGGATTGCCAGAAAGCCTTTGACACAGTACCACACCAGAGACTAGTGCGAAAGCTGGAGGTGCAGGCAGGAGTGAAAGGGAAGGTACTCCATTGGATAAGGGAGTACCTAAGTAACAGAAGGCAGCGAGTCACTGTGCGGGGTGAGGTATCAGATTGGCGAGACGTCACCAGTGGTGTCCCGTAGGGGTCAGTCCTTGGACCCATACTGTTTCTTAAATATGTAAATAATCGTCCAGATGGTATAGAATCATTCCTCTCATTGTTTGCTGATGATGCAAAAATTATGAGGAGGATTAAGACGGAGGACTACAGTATGAGACTTCAAGACGACCTAGACAGACTGCATGAATGGTCCAACAAAGGCTACTAAACTTCAACCCGAGTAAATGTAAGGTAATGAAACTAGGCAGTAGAAACAGGAGGCATACACAGGATATAGAATGGGAGATGAAGTCCTTCATGAAACGGACAGAGAGGAGGATCTAGAAGTTGATATCACACCAACCCTGTCTACTGAAGCCAACATTAAAAGAATAACATCGGCGGCGTATGCGAGGCTCGATAACATCAGAACTGCCTTCTGGAACCTGTGTAAGGAATCATTCAAAACCTTGTACACAGCATATGTAAGACCAATCCTGGAGTATGCGGCCCCAGCATGGAGCCCGTACCTTGTCAAGCATAAGGCGAAGCTGGAAAAAGTTCAGAGGTATGTCACTAGGCTAGTCCCAGAACTAAGAGGCATGAGTTACGAGGAAAGGCTGCGTGAGATGCACCTCACGACACTGGAAGACAGAAGAGTAAGAGAAGACATGATCACTACCTACAAAATTCACAGAAGAATTGACAGGATAGATAAAGATAAACTTTTTAACAAGGGTGGACACAGGTGGAAACTAAGTACCCAAATGAGCCACGCGGACGTTAGAAAGAACTTTTTCAGTGTCAGAGTAGTTAACAGGTGGAATGTCTTAGGCAGTGATGTGGTGGAGGCTGACTCCATACATGTAGATATGATAGAGCCCAGTTTCAATAGATTAGATGATAGATATTTTCAAATGTAGATATGATAGAGCCCAGTAGACTCAGGAATATGTACACCAGTTAATAGTCGGTTGAGAGGCGGGACCAAAGAGCCAGACACACACACACACACACACACACACACACACACACACACACACACACACACACACACACACACACACACACACACACACACACACGCTTTACCTGCTAGTAAACAAGGGCTTTACTAATGAGCGACTGTTCCAAGACCCACCAAACCTGCTCTCCCAGAACAATGATGGAGAACGTAGTTGTGACTGTTGTTGAAACTGTTGTTATTATTGCTGCTGCTGCTGCTGCTGCTGTGTACAGCTGCCCGTGATGTTGTGACCGCTGGCTTCTCTTACTGGCTGCTGTAGCTGTTTTTCTTTCTGCTGTTTTCACATTGTCCCAGCTGCTGCTCCTGTTGTCGCTTGGGGTCAATTGAGCGCCCAAGTTGTTTGTTGTGATTTTTCACTGTTGTTCTTGTTTGTCTCTGTTTCTTTGTTGTTTGTGTTAAGAGTTTTGATTCGCTGCTAACTTGCTGGTGTTAAGAAAATAGGCCCAAACGCCAGAGCGGGAGGTGGTAGATTGATCTTGTCTGGGGAGGTGGTAGACTGATCTTGTCTGGGGAGGTGGTAGACTGATCTTGTCTGGGGAGGTGGTAGACTGATCTTGTCTGGGGAGGTGGTAGATTAATCTTGTCTGGGGAGGTGGTAGACTGATCTTGTCTGGGGGAGGTGGTAGACTGATCTTGTCTGGGGGAGGTGGTAGACTGATCTTGTCTGGGGGAGGTGGTAGACTGATCTTGTCTGGGGGAGGTGGTAGACTAATCTTGTCTGGGGAAGTGGTAGACTGATCTTGTCTGGGGAGGTGGTAGATTAATCTTGTCTGGGGGAGGTGGTAGATTAATCTTGTCTGGGGGAGGTTGGTAGATTGATCTTGTCTGGGGAGGTGGTAGATTGATCTTGTCTGGGGAGGTGGGTAGACTGATCTTGTCTGGGAGTGTGGTAGACTGATCTTGTCTGGGGTGGTGGTAGACTGATCTTGTCTGGGGGAGATGGTAGACTAATCTTGTCTGGGGAAGTGGTAGACTGATCTTGTCTGGGGAGGTGGTAGATTAATCTTGTTCTGGGGGAGGTGGTAGATTTATCTTGTCTGGGGGAGGTGGTAGATTGATCTTGTCTGGGGAGGTGGTAGATTAATCTTGTCTGGGGGAGGTGGTAGACTGATCTTGTCTGGGGAGGTGGTCGACTGATCTTGTCTGGGGAGGTGGTAGACTGATCTTGTCTGGGGAGGTGGTAGACTGATCTTGTCTGGGGAGGTGGTAGACTGATTTTGTCAGGGGAGGTGGTAGACTGATTTTGTCTGGGGGAGGTGGTAGACTGATCTTGTCAGGGGAGGTGGTAGACTGATCTTGTCTGGGGAGGTGGTAGATTAATCTTGTCTGGGGGAGGTGGTAGCTTGATCTTGTCTGGGGAGGTGGTAGACTAATCTTGTCAGGGGAGGTGGTAGACTGATCTTGTCTGGGGAGGTGGTAGATTGATCTTGTCTGGGGGAGGTGGTAGACTAATCTTGTCTGGGGAGGTGGTAGACTGATCTTGTCTGGGGAGGTGGTAGACTGATCTTGTCTGGGGAGGTGGTAGACTGATCTTGTCTGGGGAGGTGGTAGACTGATCTTGTCTGGGGAGGTGGTAGATTAATCTTGTCTGGGGAGGTGGTAGACTGATCTTGTCTGGGGGAGGTGGTAGACTGATCTTGTCTGGGGGAGGTGGTAGACTGATCTTGTCTGGGGGAGGTGGTAGACTGATCTTGTCTGGGGGAGGTGGTAGACTAATCTTGTCTGGGGAAGTGGTAGACTGATCTTGTCTGGGGAGGTGGTAGATTAATCTTGTCTGGGGGAGGTGGTAGATTAATCTTGTCTGGGGGAGGTGGTAGATTGATCTTGTCTGGGGAGGTGGTAGATTGATCTTGTCTGGGGAGGTGGTAGACTGATCTTGTCTGGGGGAGGTGGTAGACTGATCTTGTCTGGGGTGGTGGTAGACTGATCTTGTCTGGGGGAGATGGTAGACTAATCTTGTCTGGGGAAGTGGTAGACTGATCTTGTCTGGGGAGGTGGTAGATTAATCTTGTCTGGGGGAGGTGGTAGATTAATCTTGTCTGGGGGAGGTGGTAGATTGATCTTGTCTGGGGAGGTGGTAGATTAATCTTGTCTGGGGGAGGTGGTAGACTGATCTTGTCTGGGGAGGTGGTCGACTGATCTTGTCTGGGGAGGTGGTAGACTGATCTTGTCTGGGGAGGTGGTAGACTGATCTTGTCTGGGGAGGTGGTAGACTGATTTTGTCAGGGGAGGTGGTAGACTGATTTTGTCTGGGGGAGGTGGTAGACTGATCTTGTCAGGGGAGGTGGT